CGGCGGCGGCGGCGGCGGCACCCCCGCGTGCGGGAGAGGAGTCTGCTTTTGGGAGCGGGGTGTGCCCTTGGGAGCCTGTGAAATTGCTCCTGTCTCCCCCGCGTCCTGTCCTGGGGGCCGGCTCTGCTTCCCCATGTTGGCGGGGTGCACTTCTGGCCATCAGCCTGCTCTTGGGAGGCGGGCGCTGTGCGGAGAGTGTTTGGGGGGGGTGGGTGGCGGGTGGGTGGCGGCGGCAGCGACAGGGAAATGAAAGCAAAAGCCCGCGCCCGCACAGGGCAGCCCCAGTCCCGCCATCGCCGCCGCCTCCCCCTGACAGCACGGCTCCTGCCTTCCAGGAGCAGGCTGACCTGTACCCTGAGCCCCGCGAACCTGGGGCAGCGGAGGCGGAGGCCAGGACAGGCCGCGGGGTCATTTGAAACAATCCACAGGCTCGCAGAGGCGAACCCCTAAAGCCGCCGCTGCCGACACTGCCTCCGACCGTGCCGCGCCCGCATCTTGGGAGCAGGCTGACCTGGGGACGCGCCTGGGGCAGCAGAGGCTGCCCCCAGGCCGTGCCGCAGCGGGTGTGGGGGCAAATCGGCCAGTTCGCCAGGGGCGGCGCCCCTTTTCCGCCGCTGCCCCAGGATCGCGGGGTCACTTGTTCCCAGGTCAGTGGGCCCCCGGAGGCAGGCGTGGTGCGGTTTGGGGGCGGCGGCAGAGAGGGGTGCTGATCCCCCCCCGGGGGGAGGGGAGATGGACTTGCTCCCATCTCCCCGTGGGCCTGTCTTGGCTGCGGCTTCTGCTGCCCCAAGTTCATAGGAAGCATGTCTTCCTGTCAGCCTGCTCCTGGGAGGAGGGCGCATTGCGGTCAGGGGGCAGCTTCTGCGGCGAGCAAGGACTTTCCCAGGACTGGGCTGTACTCAGGGTAACTCACTCTCCTTTCCTCTCTTGCTTCCTCAGTTGGTGGCTATAGCGGCTTTTCTGTTTTAGGTTATTACCTATACCGGGTGTGGAACATAGGTTTCTGTGCTATACAGAAAAAATTTTCTAAAAACTCTGTTTTGTATATCGTGGCTAACATTCGTAAATCTCAAATTCCCAAATTAATCCCTTCCCACCC